ACACACACACACACACACACACACACACACACACACACACACACACACACTTTGTTCCCATGAAAGAGATCATACAGACTGAGACCTTGTCTCAAAAAAAAAACCAAATAATAAATGTTAAACCTTTTCAGAATTGTCCTTTTATTTAATGGTGTTTTTCTTCCTCTCCAGAACTTTGAACCCAGAGCACCTTATGCAAGTGATTTACCACTGAGTTCCTCAACCCGACACTTCAATCAATTCATGAACAATGGTCAGTCAACATTTTTTTGTCAGCATTTTTTTTTTTAATCCTTACTCTTTCTTCTTTTTTTCCTGGTTTTTTGAGACAGGGTTTCTCTGTGTAGCCTTGGTTGTCCTGGACTCACTTTGTAGACCAGGCTGACCTCAAACTCACAATGATCTGCCTGTCTCTGCCTCCCTGAGTGCTGGGATTCCAGCCAGGTGTGTGCCACTGCACCTGGCTCAATCTTTAGTCTTAATTTTGGAAACTAAAGTTTATTTGCTTTGTGACACAGGGTTTCATGTGTGCCAGGTTGGCCTTGAACTTCCCATGTTGCCAGGGATGACTTTGACAAAGCACTGCTCATTCTGCCTCCGCTTCCCAAGTGCTGGGGTCACAGATGTGAGCTTCCATGCTCTGTTTATGTGGTGCTCCGGATCGAACCCATAATTTAATTCTGCCATATAAAGTTTATACTGTATAAAATTATGGCTTTTTACAGTATAATATTTTGTGAGCACCAGACAAAAAGGTCAATATTTTGAATACTAAACTAGGAAAATGGCTCTCATATTTGGTGACATCTGGGCACTTTGACTGTCATGACCATGGCTATGGATGTCTAGTAGGGAGAGCATTGCACACTGCAAAGAATAGCACCCTGCAACAAAAACTTAGCCAGTCTACTATGTTCGTGAGGCTCAAGTAAAAACTCTCCCAACAAAACAGTACATTTTTGTTTCAGAACTCCTGCATCTCACCATTAGTGCAACAAGCTTGCCTTGAACAGGACAGGTTAGGTCAGGCCTTTGAAGACGCCTTTGAAGTGCTGACACAGCATTCTGTGGGAGAACTTCAGTATTCCCCAGGTAAATAAGCTGTTTACTTTCATCTCTTTGGCATATGTATGGCTAGTTTGTCACATACATATGTAAACAAAACAGGCATGGAGGCCTAACAGGCTTGTAAAGCTGGGGAAGGGGATTTTGCTGGGTCCTCCTGGCTCTCCAACAAACACTTATTGATGACTTCTAGGGCAATGAGAGAGCCTGCCTCAAAAACCAAGGCTGCCAAAGGGTGACCTCTGAGGTTGCTTTTAGCTCACACACATGTGTACCCACACATGTAACCTGCATTCAGTATGCAGACAAACATGCAGGCAAAACACCCATATACATAAAAATAACTTTAAAAAGTAAAGCGGAACTGAGGCAAAAGGGTCAGACCAGCCTGAGATACGTAGCTAGACTCTGTCTCATTGAGATAAAACAGAAGCAGAATCTGCTTCCATTTGCTTATTATATCATCCTGACTTTCCAGGAAAAGCTTCCTGGAAAAAGAATATCATGTGTGTACATATGTGTAAATGTGTCTGTATGTTCTCTGTGTGGACGTCAGAGGACAATTACCCTTGACTCCCCCTGTGTTTTAAACAGTCTCAGTACTGTGATGTACCAGGCTGGCCTGAGGGCCTCCTAACTCTACCCTCCAGCTTGTCATAGAATCAGTGGGGTTTCAGACATGTCTATGCACTCAGCTTTACCTGGCTTCTGGGGATCTGAACTCATCCTTATGCTTATGTGGCAAGTGTTTTTCTCATTGAGTCATTTTCCCAGCCCAGAAAATACTTTAAAAAAAAAAAAGACTTATTTATTTATTATGTATACAATGTTCTGTCTGCATGTACACCTGTACGCCAGAAGAAGGCACCAGATCTCATTATAAATGGTTATAAGCCACCATGTGGTTGCTGGGAATTGAACTCAGTACATCTGAAAGAGAAGCCAGTGCTCTTAACCTCTGAGCCATCTCTCCAGCTCCCCAGAAAAATGCTTTTTAATTGTTATATATCTCTCTCAGGCCTTCCACTCACCAAAGACTTTGTGTGGAAGAATGCATATTTTTATTCTTCTTAACTTACTCTACATACAAATTATTATTAACTTATTCTTAACAGACTCTTTGGTCTAGAGAAAATGCAATATATTGTCTATTGAGTTTATATATAGTACTGCAGAGAGTTCCAAGTTAAAAGACAGTTTGGTACTGTAGGTACATGGAATATTTTTCTGAGAGAGAATGGGTTGTGTAGAAGAGTGTAACACTAAAATCCTGGGATAAACAGCATGGTAGAAATACAAGAAAACTTAAAAGGCAGCAATCAACAGAACCGCGTCACCTTGAGCTGCTCGCAGATGTCTGCATATGATAAACACACACGTGCCTGTAACTTGGACTTATGAAATGTCTTTCTGTTCTGCTTTTTAATTAGAACATAAAAATTACATGGCCTTCATTAACCATTATCCTCACATCAGAGGCAACCCCAGCTACTGTGGGATGGTCCCCACAGAGGAACCCCTGTACGACTGCAGAAGCGTCACTGTGAGTGTCTTTACCGGGATCAACTGCTCTGCCCAGGAAAAAGGTCACAACAGCCATGCTTCGGGCTTAGAATGAGTGGATTTATCAAGTTTAACTAGGAGTACAAGAATAAGCTAGCAAGCAGCAGCAGAGAGAAGAAACCAGGAAAGTTCTAAATCAAGCAGTCACCTGGAGCCCCAGATAGACGAAGGGGTCCCAGGCAGGCCGCTCCCCTGGTGAAGCTCCAGTTAACCCTTCCCACCACAGGCATTCTTGTTGTGTTCTTTGAGACGGGTTTCCCTGTGCAGCCCTGGGTGGTGTCTTTGAGGATGCAGGAGATATTTACATTGCTGATAGCGCTGGTCTACAGCCACTCACTGGGGGGTGGGTCACACAGACAAAATCCCACTTAACACGCCGCTGTCTTGTACACAGAATGGCTCTGTGGACTGGTATTTGGAAGGAAGTTTTCATCAGCCCCTGCAGAACATAACTGAAAGCCAACTGGTACAAGCCTCCCTCTTCCAGCAAAAGGGGGGAAAAGGTATGTTGCTATGACATTTGTGACACTGTTTTTAATTTATATATGCATTTCCGTTTTTTCTTTTTCATTATATAGCCCAGGCTGGCCTGGAACTCACTGTACAGACCAAGTTACCCTCAAAGTTGCAATCCTGCCTCAGTTTCCTGAGTGCTGAGATTACATATAGGAATACAGTGCCATGCTGGATGGAATTCAGAATTTGTATTATCTTGTAGCTGAGCATGGTGGTGCATGCTTATAGGACCAGCACTGAGGCAGTAGGATTGCAAGTTCGAAGCAAGCCTGGGCTACGGTGCTAGACTCTCTCAAGAAAAATCTGTTAAAGCAGCATGAATGGAACCACTCAAGGGTGTTGGGCCATTTATTGGATGATAGGCAACTTATTGATAGCTACATTCTTGGAAAAAATGACCCCTTCCCTGGTAGCCCTCACCCGCCATAGCTCATGGAGCCTCCTGTGTTCCCTACCCCTACCAGAGTGTAAGCAGTCTGTTCCAGTGTTTGTGCGGGTCTTGTACAGGTAACCACAGCTGCTATGAATTGATCATACACAACAGTCATGTTACATTCAAAACAGTTTCATAGTTCAAAAAACCCAAGATATACAAGCAGCAGATTTGGGGGTGGTGGGGTGTAGAAGCAGTTTGGGGATAAACTATGCTAATTTCTCGCGGGGAGAGTGGAATCTAGCCAACAGTTTTAACCAGCTGGATCTGGTGAAGCAGGGCGCAGCTTACCGAAGCCGGTTTGTATGTCAGGAAGTGGTTATCACTTTAGTTTCACGAATTCTATGTCTACACAATTACACAAACGCTCTAAATGTCCCTATCAAGTAATTTTGAAACAAAAATGATTATATTTCTGAAAAGATGAAAGACGGTGACATTAGCATTTGGTTTCATAATTGAAGGTGACAATGTCCTTATGCTGTTGCTCCATGAGCAATGGCATAAAAGAAAATTTCTTTTGGCATTTCTACTCCAGTTTCTTTTTCTTTTTCAGAACATTTTACTGCTCCTTCAGAGCTAGCCACACACTCTAAGTCATGCCTACTAAGTCCCTTAGCACTACTTTTAGGGCTGAAGAGATGGCAGCATTTAAGAGCTCTGGAACTAGGGCTGAGAGATGACTCAGCAGCTAAGAGCACTGTCTGCTCTTCCAAAGGACCCAGGTTCAACTCCCAGCACCCATATGGCAGCTCACAACTATCTGTAACTCCTGTTCCAGGGGACCTTGACCCCCTTGCACATGCGGACAAAACACCAATGTACATAAAAAAAAAAAGCTCTGAAACTAGCAGGATTTAAGATGGTTGTCAGCTGCCATGTGGGTGCTGGGAATTGAACCGTGGACCCGTCCGGCCTGCCAGTAACTTTGAAGGAGGCTTAGCGCAGCTTTCATTTCCGGGGCTCAGGAAACACTTCTAAGGGCCTTCCAGGGACAAAGGAACTCCACAAAGGAGTTGATGTTTCTTTTTCCCTCCATTGCAGTCAGGAGGAAGCTTCGGCTGTTTGAATACCTTTTCGAATCCCTGTGCAATTCGGAGATGGTGTCTTGTATTCAGTGGGTCGACAAAACCAGGGGCGTCTTTCAGTTTATATCAAAAAACAAAGAAAAGCTTGCTGAGCTTTGGGGGAAGAGAAAAGGCAACCGGAAACCCATGACTTACCAGAAGATGGCCAGAGCCCTGAGGAATTATGCCAGAACTGGCGAGATCACGAAGATCCGGAGAAAGCTGACCTACCAGTTCAGCGAGGCTGTTCTCCGTAGACTGGCTCCGCCTCACTTCCTGGGGAAAGACCTCTTCTACTCACAGTATGGCCAGCCTGATCAGGAATATCTCAGCCTAAACCACTGGAATGCAAACTACTATGCTCACGCCAATTACCAGAGCTGATCCATCCCAGCTTCTAACTGTACCCACTCAGCCCTCGCCTTGCTAGCACCAGAAAACTCAGGCTTCAGAATTTTTCCAAAATATGTAACTTGTTCTTCATATTCACAGATTCCACACCCATGAGGCAAAAAACATCTGGGGGCAACTCTGCAGAAACGTGTTTGGACTTCTCACCTTGTCCTGACAATTTTTTAGGAAGTGTTTATACTATATTGGTGTTAAAAGGAGCTGAAAGCTGTTTCAGAGGGGCACGTATCGTTTGCCTGCAGATACTTTGCTAGGTCCATGGACTGGGCAGCCATCCTTCTGAGAAATGCTGCAGTCTACTTGGTAATTTTACTAATAAACAATTGAATTTTAAGCAATTAAAGTAAAGACTGAACGCCTCTTGCTATGGGAACACCTTTTCTTCTACGACGTGTCATTGTGGATGGTTTTATAGGGTGATTTCGTTCGCTTGGAGACCATCTTCCTTAATAACCTAGACTGTCCTTGATTGAGTTAATGGAATGATAGGTATGTGCCACCATGCCACCATGTGAGACAGAGCTTGTACCAAAAGCCACGTGTTTTTACCATAGTAGACAGTTTTTATAGTCTAATCCACAATTTCATAAGTAATAAAAGTATGCTGCAATTCAACAAACCTTAGGTGGTCACTATTGCTTTAATTTGCGTTTTTCTGATTATAGACATGAGTGTTTCGTTTTAAGACAGGGTCTTTCCTGGTTTTGTTTTAGGTTTGTGTTTGGGTTTTTTTTTTGGTTGTTTCTTTTTTTGTTATGTTTTGTTTTTCTTTGTTTTTGTTTTTTTTTGTTGTTGTTGTTTTGCTTTGTTTGTTTTGTTTGGGTACAGGTTTTCTCTGTAGCCCTGGCTGTCCTAGACTCTTTGTATAGCAGGCTGGAACTCACAGAGATCCACCTGCCTCTGCCTCCTGAGGGCTGGGATTAAAGGTGTACACATCAACCATACCTGAATAGTTTTAGGTCTAAGATTTTAATCTATTTTGAGTTGATTCTTAGATACAAAGTAATTATCCTTTTTCTTTCTGTACTGGGTTAGATTTAATTGTCAACTAGATCAATTTAAGAATTCCTAGGGGGCCAGGCTTGATTCATTCCAGCTCTTTGGGAGGCCGGGGCAGGAAGTCAGTTTTAGCATCAACCTGACACAACATAGACTCACCCAGGAAGAGAGTCTCAGCTGAGTTATGTCGCTAGCCCATGAGCATTTCAGTGTGTCTTGACTGTAACTTGACCCAGCCCCCGGTGGGCAGCACCATTCTCTAGGTTGCACCCTGAACTCTGAAGAAAGCTAGCAAGTGGGGGGGGGGCACCCAAAGGTAGCTGCGCCCCTGAGAAGCCCATCATGGGTGCTAACATCAGAGCGGTATCCATGCAGTAGCTTGGTTGTGTCTCCTCCAGCAACTGTTACCCTTACGATTCTTTGTTTGCTTCTTGAGACTTGAGTCTTTCCATTTAATGATATGACCTTAATATTAGTCACGTTTCCACAGTTTTCAATAGGTAGATCCCACAGAGGTTAAGCACACTGATAAGTATTCCATTAGTCTATTGTGAGGTTTTCATATTAATTTCTTTTTTAGATAGTAACAAACTGGTGTGTGTGTGTCTGCGCGTGCAACATTTATTTTGTTGGTTTTTTTTGAGACAGGGTTTCTCTGTGTAGCCTAGGCTCTCTACTCAATTTGTAGACCAGACCAGGCTGGCCTTAAACTCACAGAGATCCACCTGCCTCTGCCTCCCGAGTGCTGGGATTATTTTTCTATGTAGGATAAGTTTTGTGAGGATGTGAAGAGCCAGGAACTCTTATGAATTTTCCTCAACTAAAAGTAGAACCATCATAGATGATCCAGAAATCTGTTCTTGGGTATGTTCCCAAAGTAGTTGAAATCAGTACGTCAAAGAGATGTCTGCATTCCCACGACCAGTGTGATGGCATGTACATATATACAAACTTGCTCACACAGTGGAATACTAGACAGCCTTAAAAAAGACACAAAAGCAGTTGGGGAGCAAAGGAGAGAGAAGGAACAAAAGTGAATATAACCAAAGAGATCAAGTTTCCTTGAGATAGGGTCTGTGCATAGTCCTGTGTGTCCTACACTCTGTAGACTAGACTGGCTTCTCTAACTCAGATCCAGCCACCTTTGCCTCCAAGAGCTGGGGTTTAGGGCATGCCCCCTCACCACCACCCTGCTGTAAAGATTAATGTTGACTGGAGTCAGCTAGGGGGCCTGCCTCTGGGCCTGTCTTATAGAAATCTGTCTGGAGCCAGAGATGGTGACACACTTTTAATTTCAGCACTCAGGAGGCAGGCGCAAGTGGATCTCTGGGAGATAGAGGCTGGTCTGGTCTACAGATAGAGTTCCAGAACAGGCAGGGCTACTTAGAGAAACCCTGTCTCAAAAAACAAACAAAATGCTGTCTGGAGAGAAAGCGGTGCTTGCTTCTTTGCTTGCTCCCCCTTGCTGGAGCACCACTGCCAGCCATTGCCATTGTCGGAGCCCAAGTTCCAGGATTCTAGCGTAGGCTGAAGACTAGTCCGCAAGGCTGTTGGATCTTCAGCTTGAGCCTTCTGGGATGGGAAGCTGCTGAACAGCATGTGGACAGTCACTCAACTCATATCATGTAAGCCAGTCTTATCAACTGCTTTAGAATGCATACTCATTCTACCAGCTCTGTTTCTCTAGGGTACTGAAATACACTCATCTACAAAAATGTAATAATGAAGCCCATGACTTTGTGTAACTAATACATGCTAGTAGAATATTTGCAACAAGGGGAAACCTTAGAAAACTGGTTCTGGGTTTTTTCTTTTATTTCATTATTTCAACCTTCATTTCATTATCTACTTATTTATTTTGGTTTTTCAAGACAGTTTCTCTGTGTGTCCTTGGCTGTCCCTGAACAGAAAACTCTTTTTGAGACAGGGTTTTATTACATAGCCCTACCTGTCCTGGAACTACGTAGTCCAGGCTGGCCTCGAGCTCTCAGTGAACAGCTGCTTCCGACTCCCCAGTTCATGGACTACAGGTGTGCTACACCACGTGAGTGGAATGTTAGGCACAGGAAGTAGGTGAAATATGTCACCTTAATGGAACCTAAAACATTGAAATCATGGATTCACATAGGATGGGAGTTGCCAGGGGCCTCGAATAGGTTTTGGAGAGGTGTTGGCTAACATGTAGAGTTGTAACTAGAGAGAAAAGTTCTAATGTTCTAGACCACAGTAAGGTGACAGTTAATAGTGACATTTTACATGTGAGATGATGGCTCAGCCCATCCAGAGGAACCAGAGTCCGTTTCTCAGCACTAACGTAGCTCACAGCTGCCTGTAACCTCGACTCCAGGGGAACGGACATTTTCTCTTCTAGCCTCTGCTGACATGCGCACATGGCACACACAAAGACACACATGCACATATGCAATGACAATAAATCCTGAGAATAGAAATACTTTGTCTATTTAATATTTGAGGTGATGGAGATATGACAGTTACCCCAAACTGGCCACTGCGAGGGGCTTAGATACATGTTAGATACAAACGTGTATCACAGACACAATTATTAAGTACACATGCAAAGTTTCACCGTTATCCTCTGCCTGCCTGTGTTTTCTCTGCACTTCCATTCATGGGCTGTAGCACCACGGTGCTAAGAAGCGGTCTAAGGAGAATGACATTGTGATAATAACCTTCTGAATATCCCAACTAACAAATCTTTTTGAGGTTCACACTCCTAAGCAGTGTTTCCTTGCTATTCTACAGCAGAGCCACATGGAGGCGCTGTTGCCCCGTTTTCTCTTCAGGCCACTCAGAATTTTTTTTTCTCCCACTCAAACTGATAAAAGGCTGGAGACTGAGGGAGGAACCTAATCATGGGTAATTGGAACAGAAGCTCTGACTTACTTTCCACATGGCATAAGGAACTCTAGAAGAAAACCATCTACTTCCTACCCCTGTTTAGCTCCGTAATTCATCTACATTATCACAAAGTAGGGGAGTTTTCTAACCTGCCTGAACCATCTTCAGCTCGGGTTATAGAGCAGAGGTTCTCAGCTTTCCTAATGCTGTGACCCTTTAATGCAGTTCCTCATCCTATGGTGACCCCAACCATAAAATTATTTCATTGCTACTTTATAACTGTAATTTTGCTACATAAATATTAATGTCAATATCTGATATAGAGGATATCTGAAATGTGACGCTAAGGCTTCGAGACCCACAGGTTGAGAACCGCTGCTTTAAGTGCACCCAGGGTCTGCAGGTCCACGGAATTCCCTGACTTTCCTTTTTCTTTGTGGCCCTAAGAAAACTTTCAAGAACTCCTGCCCGGCAAGAGCATCTCCTCACACCCTGGGCACAGATACAACAGGACTCCCTTCTGAAGGAGGGAAAGATCTCTGCCCCAGGAAGGAACAGGAAAGAACACCTGTGTAAAACAGATATTGCCTGAAAGGAGAAAGTAACAGATGTTGGGGAGGAAACCAGAAATGCCATAGCCTTTGGCTGTCCAGCGTTTTTACGTGCAAGGCGTGAACACACCTGAGACTTCCGAAGCAGCTACGTCCAAATCACCAGGAAGAAGGTTCACTTGTCTCCGCTGTCCAAGGCTGCATTTGCTGGTGATGGTCCGAAGATGGACCACAATCTCAAGTCTAGTTTGGAAAAGACAGAAGGCCCGAGCGACCCCCAGTTCCCTGACTGCACATCTGTCTGCCTAACTGTGGGGATGGTGAGATCCTACCTGGGAGAGGAGTGAGCGCCTGGCTGGCCATGTTTGTTGCCTTTCATAAACATCCTTTGTTATCATTGAGACAGGTTCTCACATAACTCAGGCTGGCCTCAAACTCCCTGTGTAGCAGAGGCTGGCCCTGAACTCCTGATCTTGCTGCCACCTCCCAAGTACTGGGATCACAGTCCTTTTACAGTACACAAAGTATAAAATCCTTTATTGTAGTCATGAACCTAATTCTGCCTTACAGATTAACTCCTTGTTTAAACTTTTTCAACAGCAATTTTTGAAGAGAAAATTAGGTTCCCTCCCTTAGGACATGCAGTAATATGTTAACATGAAT